GGTTTGGGGGAGATGCTGTTTCCCCTAGCGCCCGCTGGCATAACAAGGAGTAATGGGCACAAGTTGATGGAGAGGAGGTATAGATTGGACATCCGCAAAAACTACTTCACAGTTAGGGCGGCTAGGAGCTGGAACCAACTTCCAAGAGAAGTGGTGCTGGCCCCTACCCTGGGGATCTTTAAGAAGAGGCTGGATGCCTACCTGGCTGGACTCATTTGAGTCCCATTTTTGTTTTGGGGTTTTTTTTTTGTTCTCCTGCCCTGGCGGGGGGTCGGGCTAGAAGATCTACTAGGTCCCTTCCGACCCTAAATCTATGAAACTATGAAACTTTTTATTGGGTCTGATCATTCATGCTAAACAGGCAGTGTACAGTTTTGTAGATGCAACCAGAAATAGAAACTGGAGAAATGGATGCACCTACGAAACGCCAAAGAGCCTTTAGAAAGCTGTGAAATGGATAAACTTTCTAAGAGAATTACAGCTTCTAAAGGATCAACATTATATCAAAACACCTACAAAGCAAGGTCAAAAATAACCCAAACCTTCCTAAAATGATGTTATGTGAGACTCTCCCCAATATAATTACCTACCTCAATCCTTCTCAGTCATGCTTCTCCAGTTGAAAGTCTACTACTAACTCACAGTACTGATTGTAAGCACCTGTGAGGAGAGGGGGGGAAAAAAGCAGCAGCAAAACCCCCACAATTGGATCTAATCATCTCTCAGGTGTATAGTTGCAGAGTGATTACTTTTGATAGCATAGGGGTTCCTTTTCTCAATTCAGTATATTTGCTACATACAGCTTTCATTTTAAAAATGTGTATTTTCTACAGAGAACCTAACAACCTCATTAGCTCCCCTGTTTTGAAAATTGTGAATACATATGTATCAGGAAGGTGGGAAGTAGTTTATAATGCACCTTTAGAATACACTAATCAAGTAAGCATTGATGGATGTTTGAGATGAATATTTCTACCCTCAGATACACACACACAACTTCCATTGAAGTGAATGGCAAAGAAGGCAAAAGTCTCCTTGGATAGAATTTGTTCCTATGTTTTTCAGAGATGGGGAAAGCGTGTCCATTTTATTTTGCCCAAAATCATTTTTCTCATCTTTATGATCATTAGGTTTAGTCTTGGAACTAAAATGCTTAACAAAACTGCAGATGTTCACATTACCTTCTACAGGATAGTGGAGGTTTTTAATTTTGAAATATCTTGCCCGCAGTACAGTGACTCAGAGGAAGTGTGAATGACAGAAGGAAACTTATTAAGTTAAAAACAGTTTGTTGGAGGGTGTGGGGAAAATGAATTCATGCACAGAAACAGGTCCGATGTCATTTTATTAGCAGAGATATAGCAGTCTGCTTCCCACTCTACTTCAACTCATGTACTAATCACTAATACTCACAGCATTAACAGAATCTTCAATTTAGAGCCATATGGCAGCCATAAAGAGATATACCATTATACAAGCTAAACTTTACCTATAAACAACTGGCTTCAAGCTTAGGCTACCTGTTAAAGGGGGTTCACTGGGCTTATTCTTTCCCTAGTATAGACATGTGGCAATATGCATTAAAAAGTTATATAGCTGGCTCCATGAAAGGCTTTAGCTATCTAAATCCAAAATATAAGTCTTCAGAAACCACATGCTCAGCTGCTAAGCTTGGAGATGTACAGATTGTACCAGTTAAAGTTTTCTAGGTTGCTAAGTGTTTGCCTGTAGGCATGCCCAAAACTGCCTAAGCCCAACACTGTGAGCAACTAAATGCCTCTTCCAAAGTGAAACAACTGAAGTAGAAGGATGCAGCAACCGCCTTTTTATGTAAGTGCCTAGTGGCTAGAGTATTCAACTTGGCCCTGGGTTGAAATCCCAGTTGTGTGCTCTGTCTACTGAGTGAAAGGTGGTGACTATCTCATTCAGCTGTGTTTTGTGAAAAAAGGCTAGTGGAGGTGCCAGGAGAGTTTATGGTTACAATCCTAAGTGCAGAGTGCCTCAAATTAGGTCCCTCTTTAAAGGAAGTGTAGTAAGCTACTTTAGTGATGTTTAGTGAGGCAGAAGCTATCTTGCAGTTTATCCATTTTCTCCAATAAACGGTAAATGTGAAGGGCAGGAATGTCGCTACACAGGTGGAAATCTAACACTGCATAAGTACCTAAACTGATACTTATGTGGCTATACTATGATGCATAAAGTAGCAGTTAGGTGCATAAAGTGAAATCACATTTTTCTATGGAATTATTACAGAATCATCACTCAGAATTTCAAAAAGTAACAAAAAAAGTTATAAGGCCCTGATCCTGCAAAACTGATATGCTGAACTTAATGCATGTGAAGACCTAGCTATGAAAGAAAGGGTTTGGAGTACATGTGTAGATCTTTCAGGACTGGGACTAACTCATTAGCTGATTTAGGGTCAAGTTGTATCCTGCTGCTTTATAAGTACACACAAAATGGAAAGAGAAGGGGACTAGGAACTTTGTCGCTCCCTGTCCAGGAGTCAAGCGCTTAGGTAATCCATGAAATTTCTGGTCATGGGCAATGGGGGGAACCAGCGGGGCACGACTGGGGGGAGTCTCCCAGTGGCCAGCTGGCAACAGGGGGGGAGGGGGTCCGGCACCAGTGGACCCAGTTTTGGAGGGGGGGAGGAACTACTGCTTTCTATGCCCCTCTACCAGCTGGAGTGCTCACTTAGCAGGGGCACCAGTGTTCTCAGAGGGGCACATGCCCCCCCATGTCCCCCCCATGCGTTGCTTCTGTTTGTGGTTCTGGTTATTAGCAGGGATCCTGATTTTTCTCTGTTCAAAAACTGCAAATTCTCTAATAACCCGCCTTCCCCCCAAATAAAAGTTTTCCCATGATTAAAATGAAACACCACTATATCTATATCTATATCTATATCTATATCTATATCTATATCTATATCTATATCTATATCTATATATATAGATATATATATATATATCTATATCTATATATATATATAGGTATAGGTATTAGTTGAACAGTTTGATTTGGGGGTTTTTATGATGGAACATCAGAGCTCTCCCTTCCCCCTTCAATCACCAGGACGTGGGTCCAGCTGTAGCTGTCTCCACCTCCCACTGCTTGGTGGCACTAAGCAGCCCTGATATATTGGTGCCCTGCCCATGCCATAACTCCTCACTCCCCACCCACCACCCCCTGCCCCTCCTGGTGCTCCTCACTCCTCACCCACTGTCCCCCCACCCCTGCTGGTGCCCCTCACTCTCCATCCACAGCCCCCCCACCCCTGCCAGTGCCTCTCACTCTCCACCCACAGCCCCCTCGACCCTGTCAGTGCCTGTCACTCTTCACTCACTGCCCCTTGTCCTCCCCCAGACCTTCCAGAGGGGGCCTCCAGCTGCCAGAGCTATGGGGCCAGGGACCTGGGTCCAAAGCCCTCTGCCCCCCACAGCAGCACCCGAAGCCCAGCTGCCACCTGTGGGAGGCAGCAGCTGTGGCTGAGCACAGTGCAGAGCCCAGCTCCACCTCCTCCATAGATGGCATGGCTGGAGTAAAGCCCATCAGGGGGCCCCAAGCCCATCAGAGGGTGGGTGTGGCTTGGCTGCTGTGGGCTCAGGGCTCCTCACACTGCTGCCCTCCCCCAGGGCCTCTACAACCTAGTGTGTGAGATCCAGTGTGGCACTGCAGGGCAGAGTGGGGCTGGGAGGGGAAGCTTGGTGGTACCATCATGAGCCCAGCACCACCATGGCGAGGTGCCCCCTGCCCACCCAGCAGCAGCAAGGGGCACAACTCTGTGTCACCACTACCACTGCTACTGGGCAGGCATGGGGCACATCACCATGGAATCGGAGGGCTCACAGTGGTGGCACCAAGCTTCCCCTCCCAGCCCTGCTCTGTCCTGCAATGCCACGCTGGGTCTCACCTGCTGGGCCATGGAGGCTCAGGGTGGAGGGCAGCAGAGTGGAGAGCCCAAGCCTGCAGTGTGTAGCCCACACCTGTCCCTGCCCTGTGCACAAATCTGGGGGGAACGTGCCCCCTT